TGGCTTCAATTCTTGCACCAGCTGTATCTTATAAGGTTTTACACCCAAATCCTGTCGCAAAATTTTCCACGTAGTGGAGTAACAGAGGCCCAATTGCTGCGAACGGCGGCGAATCGACATTTCACGGTCATCACTAACACTGGCGGATACAGCCGCAATATATTCTTCAGTCCTCACTCTACGTCTGCGTGTTGGTGGTTTAATGTCCAATAATGTAAACTGGGTTCGAAATTTAGTCACAAGATTCCAAATAGCTCCCTCAGTAGGCCGACCGAATTGCCCATAAATTGGAAGCAGTGCTCGATGCACTCTCTTAACCGAGCATGAATTTTGATAGTAAAATTCAATAATTTGCAAGCGTTGTTCGTTCGTAAGTCGATTCATGGTTAAATTATAGACCAAACTGAACAAGTTTGACAATGACACAAGACACGATTCACGCGTCATCTGTCAAAAACAGTGTTGCCAAAAAGATACTAGCACAAAAATCACCCATTATAAAAAAAGACAGGTTGAAAGTCTCTCTCTCTTCCGAATAAGGCTGCAGCATTCTAGGCCCGTCAGACAGATCCATCGCAAGTTTCTTAAAAAAAAAAACGTGAATTGATGAGTCTGAACCCAACTAGATAAATTCGAAAGACAAATCTTGATGTCTAGACACCGGTACGGTACCAGAACGTTAAGCTTATACCTTGGCAATAAACCTGAACCCATCACGACATGCTATCTTCACCAATAAACCATTGAAACCGTTCTCCTTTGAAGAGTTGCTCAAATGCTCGAACCAAATAACTACAGATTCAATATAAGATATGTGGAGTTATCGTAACACCATCGTATTTATACGAAAGGCTAATATAATGGAGACGCAGTCCTGCAGATATGCTGCCCGTAAGGTGCATATGGTCCAGTCAATGTGGGCAAGGCTTCTTTCTAGATTCTAGAACAACTGAATAGAGCGGTTCTTGAATATCAACGAACTTCAGATTCTCTGTAGAGCTCATTTAATCACGCGTTTTGTATCGCCCAACAAGGTCGTGTCATTAGGACGGAAAAAGGTGGTACCCTGATGATAGAAACTGTCTCTGTCAAGCGCAAAATATTCATATCACGTATAAGCTGTTTATTCATGGCAACATTCATTGCGCAGTTCCTCTGTAGATGGCGTCCGTATCATGTGGGTCACTAGAACTGTTTTCCAGTGACCCTGTTGAGTTTCTCTGTGTAACTCTGTACCAGTCCACTGCACGTTGGATTCTCATTCATTGTTCGGAAGCAAAAACCACTGGAAAGCAGCTCTGAGTTGTACATGGAATGCCCTTCGAAATAAGTAAACACTGATAGAACCATATACATACCCTAACTTTCCTAATATAAACTGCATACTGCGCAAGTATTTGGCAACGCGTCTACTACTCGCTCTTGCACACATACATGAATAGGGTAATGCAGGGCTTTTGTTTTCACTCACTTTTTGGAAACGCTTCTAATACAAACTGTCGACAAAGTAGTTGTTTCTTCAGGCTCTATTACGCTCTATATCGAAGACCAACAGGGTTTAGTACAAATAATGATAAAATTAATGTCTTTATTAGAACAACAACAATAAGGCGTTAGCTTAGCCAGTTGGTTAAGCTTACACGAAACCCTATTGTGTGAGGAGATACCTGTATGTACATACAATACAAATAAGGTTCATATAAACCTAAAAATAAATATATCGATTTGATGTTCAACTGAGTGATGAGTAATGGAAAAGAGAAAAAAAAACATATTTAATTGAAAATGAAAATAGAAGAGATCGTAACAGCTAATTACAACAAATCTAACAACTGATTGCACGCCCATATGAACTAAGTCATATTGGCAAGATAAAACTACAAAACGTATGTCCTTGAGTTTACACAAACAAACGTCCGCCCATAGAGGTCAGTTGCATAATATTTATATGTGAGATATATGGATGTGTGAAAGTAATTCCTGTAACTCTACTGTGCCCTGTCAAAAACCATGAAAAGACATACACCTGTTGCCCATTCTTATAGGGACTGAACTAACAGGCCTATAATGAAAGTATTTCTGCGATGGCTCTTATGAGATATAAGAGGTAGGTATTGTATTGTAAGCTTTATGCAGTTGCTTATCTATGTTTATTGGTTATAGGCGAGTAAATATATGTATATACTTTTTAACTTTTTGAAAATAGGCCAGGCATTGAAAGTGCCGATCAGATAAGGTTTAAGAATGTGACTAGCGCCACCTATCGGCTATCAGAACAGATTCATCCCAACGTCTACCTTGAAAATACAGGGCTAGTGGCGCATACTGAGGCTCCCACACCATAGGGGCGTGTAAATTTTACAGGAGATACGAAAAACGGTCGAAGAGAGAATTGAAAAATAAAGGAAAAACTAATACGAAAATGACAGATCAGGATAATTTTTTCAAAATTAAAAACATTAGCTATTTTAACCAAGATTTGGCGATACGTCTTTATGCCAGGAAGAAACTATTAGTTATTTTGGGGCGTATGATTCACTCATATGCTTATCATCATCACTACAGCAGTTTTAGGAAAAAAAAAATAATGACTTAGGATATACAAGGTGACCCAAATAAGATGTCCCATTACGTTTTCTCAAAAAGTATTGAAAAAGTACTTAAATACAATAGTTTCTCAGTTTTATGTAAGTTTTTAAATTATACGGTTTTTATATTTGTACATGTATCTTAAAAGCGCTGCCCATATTTCAACTTCCAAAGTTTAAATGGGACACCCTGTGAAAATAATTTAAAAATTCAAGAAACGAATTTGTTACTGTAGTATAGCATATTGATACACCCTCTGCCTACTCATATTTATATTGCCAGTGCTTAAAAATATTGTTAATTTCTAAATATACTCGTACATGTACTCTGGAACTAACTCCTCTCCGTTTTCTATTTAACACCTACGTTCTTAAAGCAGATAGTGGTAGATCAGCGGATTGATTAGAAAGGACGTAAAGAAACGGATCGTAAGAGTTGTGTTACATTGAAGGTACAGTATGATCTTTTCCATGACAAACAGACTGCAGATCCGAATATTTTTTTTCTGTAGCAGTAGAAAGAATGTGAAAAAACTTTTTTGAAAAATTTTAAATAACACAGATGAACATAATAATTATTAAAAACAATAAAAAGTATAAGTATTCACTAATATTTCTATATTCATGGTATAGGATTAACTTCTTAACCACTGCACGCATTGGAAATTAAACAAGTTCACCACTTACGATAGAAAAATTACATAATTGTTATTATTGTAAGTTAGGCGCTAACCCCTTTATGATTTTGCATTTTTAACCAAAATATATTACAAGCTGCCATTTTACAATTCAGTTGACTACCCAACTATTTTAAAAGTGGTAGTTCCCAAAAAATTTACGTAATTTACCTAAAAATGGTTCATACGCTTTTTATGTCGTAAGGCCATGATTGGCGTTTACGCCTAAATAATTTAGCAAAACATACAGGGTGAGGGGAAAATAGATGCAGAGCCGGTGGACGGAGATAGTACAAGCCAATTTGAGTCGATTTTACTATAGGAACTACTGTCCGAATATTAGCCGTTTTCGAATTATACTAATTTTTAAGATTTTATAGAATTAACGTCCTTTTTACGTTAGCCAAGTCATAAAACTTGAAAATTGGGTGTTTCATTTGATTTTGTTTTGGTTTTACAATAAAAATATTCTAAAATACGAAAATTAATACTCAAATGTCCATTATTGACGTTATCTCAGCAGTAAGCTTCAAAATAGTTCGATTTTTGTTAAAAAAATCTTCGTTTATCTCAAAAGCTTCAGTTTATTAGAAAAAGTCGCATACAAATTTTTCGTACAAAATAATTATAGAATATCTACCTTCATTACCTTTCAAATGACGTATAAAAATCACAAATCTATTAAGAATTGGCAATAATATGAAACAGTTTCCGAATCGATGGATCGGTAGAGGCGGACCAATCCCATGGCCAGCACGCAGTCCCGATCTCACACCTATGGACTTTTTTGTGTGGGTTCGCATGAAAACTTTAGTATACTCTGATCAACATCCTGTACTCACAATAGAAGACCTCAGTAACAGGATAATACATGCAGAACAAGAAATTCAAGCCTCTCATAGGAATTCGGCGGTAGTAAAGTCAGCTGTCATAAGAAGAGCACTGCGTGCATTAGAAATAGAGGGCGCCATATTGAAAATGTATTATAAAAATACAGAAATGCAGTTTGAGACAAATTATCCTGTATTAAGGTATGATTTTGTAAGTGTAGTATTTTTATTGCTTTTCCTTCCTATAATAGTCATATTTTTGCCAATTTTTAAACGATTTGTGATTTTTATACCTCATTCGAAAGGTAATGAAACGTAGACGTTTTCTAGTTATTTTGTACGAAAAATTTGTATGCGACTTTTTCTAGTAAGCTGAAGCGTTTGAGATGAATGAAGATTTTTTTTAACAAAAATCGAACTATTTTGAAGCTTACTGCATGAGATAACGTCAATAATGTAAATTTGAGTTTAAATTTTAGTATTTTAGAATATTTTCATTGTAAAACAAAAAAAAATCAAATGAAACACCCAATTTTCAAGTTTTATGACTTGGTTAACGTATAAAGGACGTTAGTTTTATAAAATCTTAAAGATTAGTATAATTCGAAAACGGCTAATTTTCGGACAGTAGTTCCTATACTAAAATCGACTCAGATTGGCTTGTACTATCTTCCCCCACCGGCTCCGCATCGATTTTCCCGTCACCCTGTATAACAAAGAGTTCCAATTTGCTCGGAAAATCCTTATATCATAGTACTTCCTTAAAATCAATGGTTGACAACAAAAAACTAAAAGCAGATCTGATATCGCATGAACTAAAGACTATAATAGAAAAATGTGCGAATCTTTTTCAAACCTCTCATCATTCTTCAAATATCGTAAGCCCGATCCTGTCGCATTCCACCGAAGGCTTGAAGTGCGCCAACACTTATCAGATTTTCAGATAAGGAGTGTCGTCTCTCAGCCGCCTGTGTCTCACAAGTGCGAGAAACAAACGAAAATCGGTCCGAGTGTGTCGCAGGACGTTGATCGTCTTTTGTTGTATACATGTTCAGTGCGGAAAAGTGACGAAACATGTACATACGAAAATGGTGTAGTGAATAGTGTTCTGTAGTGAACTATGTTTGTGAAAAATACTAGACACGTTAGAAGAATTAACTCTAGGTAATGGTGGAATGTGTATCTGTGTTTTTTAATCGTGTGATGTTTTTTGTGATGATCCTTGTGATGTTCAAGCTGTATAAATGTTCATGAATTAAAGTTATTGTCTACCCACCTCATTTTCCCTTCTACTTGAGTTTGATCGATCTTCGTTAGTTCAGGATGTGATACCACAATACTCTATAATAACCAGAAATGGATCCACCATCTCTGAAAACTTGTCTGGCACTAGTTCGAAAATTGTCAGCTATCTATCTGGAAAAAATTAACTGCTGACACTATTTCTGCGGTTATTTTATTTGTTTGTATGCGCAATTAAGTAGAACTGCATTTGTCACCAAGGTTTTGGTCGAAATGTAAGGAACCTTTTTTGAACCGTTTCACTTTCGTCCATATAAATTTGGTAATACGAGCTCCATATAATACTCGCATATTCAAGTTGGCTACGCACATATGCCAAATAAAATACCTTCAAAGCCCTCATGCATTGGAACTGCTGACAATCCCTGACAAGGCGTGTAGTAAACTGTTTTAGACATACGTGGAGCAAACGTTAATCTTTGGTCTTAAAGAACACTCAAATCTCTAGCGCACCATCAATACTATAGTTGAAAATATGAAGGGATATCTTCGTACTATAGTTCAAAATACTGTATCTGTAAATCCAAACAATACTATAGATGTACGTATATTATATATACTAAGTATTAGTATTTTAGTAAAATTTTGTATACGTATAAGTACTTAATGAAGCATAATAAGTAAATGATAAAAATTTCAAAATGATTGCACTGCTTTAAAGCCCTTTGACCTTTAATAATGTGTGGATGTACCCTGATGTGCTACGCATTCTCCAAAGCGCCTAGGCATGCTTCTGATCAGGTGGTCAATGTCCTCCTGTGGTATCTCATTCCAGGCAACCACCAACTCCTCTCGAAGTGCTTCTAGAGTCTGAGGAGGACGTTGCAAATTGAGCAATCTCCTACCCATCATATCCCACACGTGCTCAATTGGGGATAAGTCGGGAGATCTTGGTGGCCATGGTAACAATGTGACATCATTATGTTGAAAGAAGTCTATTGTGACTCTTGCAACATATGGTCGGGCATTATCTTGTTGGAATGTTGGTTCTACAAGGGTGTCAAGATAGGGTAAAAGATGGGGTTCTAGAACTTCGTGGATATAACGCTGCGCGTTCATATTACCTCTGATGAAGATTAAAGGTGACCTGGAACCATAAGCTATAGCACCCCAAACCATAACTCCAACAGTGTGATGAACATGTCTTTCAACAAAAAACTGTGGATTCCTCCTTTCACCACGTCGCCTTCTAACCCTGGCACGACCATCGTGCATGCCTAAACAAAATCGAGACTCGTCACTAAAGACAATACTGTTCCATTCCTGATCCCGGAGTGACCGTTGTCTGCACCACTCAAGGCGATTACGTCGGTGTTCTCGAGTTAAAGGGAGGACACAGTGTGGCCGATATGAAAACAAGCCAAAACTTCTCCTTTATCGGTAAACACTTCGCATGCCAATAGGTCTTCCGTGTTCTGCAAACCATTAATTTGCAATGGACCTGGTAGCGGCGATCTTCACGGTCTGTTGTTCTACGGCGGCGTCCAGTGCCCCTTGCTCTTTGCGTACGGCCTTCTCGAAGCCATGCCTGACAACACCTAACCACAGTGTCTACACTTCTTTGCACTCTAACTGCAATTGCCCGAAAAGAAAGTCTAGCTTCCCGAAGTCCCACTATACGGCCCCTATCAAACTCACTAAGTTGACGAAATCTTACAGGTCTCCGTACTCTAGGCATCGTAACCGATCGTAAAGGATGTCAAGAACCAAAATCCGCCAACGTTGATTCTTTACTGCGGCTGAAATATTCATTTTCAGAGCATTAGTGAATTAAAAAGAAGCAGTATAAAAACCGGAATGTCCAACTGATAAGGCTGAAAATTTTTTCACGTATTACTTACAGTAAGATAAATACATTCACTAACTTTTATTAAAATAAAACCATTTAAACTGGGTGTTCGGATTTATATGTCACTATATTTTCGTGCGTGCAAATTTTCATTAGTAAACAATAGAAATAAAAGTGGTCCGAAGATAGATCCCTGGGGGACACAGGAGTGGGGTTCGGTCTTGAACCCATTGTATGCTACGTACTGCTTGCGCTCTGATAAGTAGGATCTAACGTATTTTATGACTCATGATAGTTAAACCTGACGTACAAATAAAATAGCTGAAACAAAGAGAATGTCGAGAGACTTAGAACATAACAGAAGTACTAGGAGTGAGCAGGAAAGAATTAATCAAGATAGATAGTTAGGTTTTTCGGTCACGACTGCTTAAAACGTGCAGGAATGGGTATATGCAGCCCCAAAGCAGAAAGACAAAAAGAAAACAGTAACACCAATATCTGTTATCCCCGATTATCTACTCCAATTGCACTACTTACCCGACGAATTGACAATAAAGACAGTGGAACATGCTCAGAGGATCTAATTGAGGATGCACAACAAGCTCCTTGACTAGGTGGCATCTACTAGCCCTCTTGATTCCCTATTATTTTCCGGCTCTTAAATGGAACCACGTTTATAGAATTGACTGCTCTCTTGATGTCCCGGATACCTGACGACTTAATCTGTATCTGGAAGGCAGACAAATATGTTATCATTCTCAATTTTGATTTGTACTTTGAAGAAGGCCACCGAGATAGCCTAAACGTCAGTAATCAATCAAATTATATGTGGTTCCAATTAAGTGAGCCAGAATAAGTTTCAGATGTTAGTTTTGTCGCCTTGTAACTAAACAATGTGCGGCTGCCCCAACTAAATCCATTTGCCAAATTGCAAAAAATAGAGTGTAGATATTGAACTGGCAGTAATGATAATTGGTTAAACTGTTCTTAAAGTTACAATGTTTTTGTCTTGAAACTGTTTTCAGAAACATTTTGTAGTTTTCAAATCCAAGAAAATGTAAAACAAAGTGTCGTCATCTCAGAAATGGTCGGTTGTTTAGGGAAAGAGCTATATACGAGGGATGTCTTTTAAGTTTTGCATATAGAAACACAGTAGGCCGCGCGGATCGAACGTCAGTACTGAATCTTAACCTCACTCTTTAGTAAACTTAAATTCAAAGTTTCACAACAATACGTGCAGTGTTCTCACTACAGTGAATTTTTAAGTGTCATTAATTCTAATCAAACAAGGAATTAATTTTTTGCATGAGTGGTCTACTTATCTTGAACAGATTAATGTGTTTAAATTAATGAATTTCTTACTTCTCAATAAAAACTTGAACATCAATGACATTTATTTTTATTGCCTTGCACCGCGAAATCTCAAAAAAAACTACGAAATAAAGGAACATTGTTATCAACAACAAATTGACCTCAATTTTCTAGCTTCTATACATGTCAGCTCTTGCTAATGGCACGATTTTTGTAAAAATTATGCAACACGAGAACGCACATATTTCTAATTCTACTGCATCAGCAAAACTATCTATCAAGCTATGCAGGAGAAATCAAATACCGACCACTTATTTTTGCTATAACATATACCTTGTATGACATTTCGTGAACAAGTGGTATTTAACGTAACCAAGCGTGTTTTAAATTTTACAAGGCATTCATCATTGTATTTACCTACTTTAGATGATGATGCTTTGGTATTTTGGTGGTTTGCGGTTTAGATATAATTAATTAGACTCAATGATCTATACGCTTTCCGGAAAAAGCGGATGATTTATTTAATATCTGGTTTGGTGAAAATTATAGAAAGCAGACTGCGTGTTTTTACTCTTGGTCAAGTTGGTATCGGGAGAATTTGATACGATAAATACTCCATTATTGCTCTCATTACATCTGTTCACAATATCCTAAAAGTTTTCTAATGAAATTGCGAAAAAATTGGAAATATCGCTGCATATGCGCCACTGTATTTCAAAAAGAAGTTATGAAGATTATTCAGATATCCTTTGGATTGTTGTTTCTATTGGAATGTCGCTTCCAAGAATGGAAATAGGAACCCTAAAGATTAATACTAATTTGACGTACAAATATATTTCTACGTATACAGTAAACCATTGTATGTCTGTTAATCTTTAAACTTGAAAGAATCGTAATGGAACACAAGGTTTAGAACCAAGACATTTATTGATTGGTACTATGCTGCATGCCAATAGAATTTTTAATGAAGCCTTGTGCAAATTCAAGAAACGATCACGGTCAATTGGGGTTCCGCTACCAAAAATAAGCTGTGAACCTCTTGAGTTATCAAAAAGATATGGAGTAACATTACCCAGTTAGTTAAATTGTAGATACTCAAATCATTGCTCTTATATCACCTGCAACTTTCAAGATTCATATTACACATTCCAACTCAGTTGTATGTACTTGGTCAGGAGCTCTATACAGTGTGAGTCTTCATAAAGTGCACATATCAAAATCAGGGAAACTACACTCTACTTCATCGACAGATAAATCATCAAAAAAACATGAATTTGATTTTTTATGAATATATGAAAATTTTAAAATTTTTAGTAGCAGCTTCTAACCATATTGAAATAACTCGTTACAACTTTTAAACTAAATGTCCTATCATATTGGAATACATTTTGTAGTGATTGCTGGTAAAAGAACGTGCCTGAAAAGTGAAGAATTCCAGGAAAAGTAATGCCATTTAGAATAAAGAAAATTTTGATGAAAATCTGTTTTTTTTTTCATCATTTTTACAATAATTTCAAATTTTCTATAAATATCGTCCCTTGTACCCGACCTTTTTTTATTTGTAAGTTATTATACATGTTATCAGCTTTATAAAAGTAAAAATTGCACGTTTATTACTCAAATGTAACAGTTTCTATGAGTGTTTACCATTGCTTATCATGTAGATACCTTTTTTTGGTGATTCAATGTAGAGTCGCGCGGGCTGAAGTACGAGTGGGAAGGCGGGCCCAGTTGAAAAACAATTGAATGTTGGGCAGTTATGCAGCTATTTGTGTTTCTCCTGCCAACATTATCAGTTTCGTTTGCTACATATCACGCTTTCGCTTTTTGGTCGCGATGCCACGTATATAAGTGATTTCCCTCCGGCACACAGTGCCGATATCCATTATTATTATGGAATGTACCGAGGGAGTGCTAGAGCTGCTTGCACAGCTTATCTAGCTGCATTTCCAAATCGACGCCTTGTTCCATCAGCCCGTAACTTCCAAGAAGTACATAGAATATTGGCTAACACTGGATTTGGTTTGCCTCGAGATCGCCGCGAACTAGGTGTTATTATTCATGTTGCTATCGAAGAAGCCCTTTTGGATGATTTGTCTGCTGACCCGACTACTAGTACGAGACGTTTGGCGTTACGTCATGGCGTATCCCGGAAATCGGTTTGGCGCATCTTGAGGAAAGCAGGGTTGCATCCATACCATTATCAAAAGGTGCAGCACTTGCATGAAGATGTGGATTGGCGTCCAAGGTGCGCTATGTCTACATGGATTTTAATAAAAACAAGAGACAATCCTGAATTCCCGAAAACAATTCTGTGGACAGATGAATCTCAATTCACGAGAGACGGCATCGTGAACTGTCGTAATTTACATAATTGGTGCCCAAAAGATGAAAACCCCTAGGCTGAAAAGGGCTTCAATATTTCAAGTGAAATTTTCTGTAAATGTGTGGGCCGCACTGATTGAGAACTTTTTGATTGGTCCAATAATACTCCCGAGGACATTAAACGGAGAGAGATTTCTGGAGCCTTTGCGGACTGATCTGCCCATGCTGTTGGAAGAAGTGCCGCTTCCAACTCGTCGAAGAATGATGCTTCAAATGGATGGATGTCCTGCACATTACTCGCTGATTGTCAGGTCTTTTCTTAATGAAAATTATCCAGGCCGCTGGATCGGTCGACAAGGACTGTTGGGTGGCCGGCGCGTTCCCCAGATCTCACACCTTTCGACTATTTTTTATGGGAGACAATGAAACAAAGGGTGTACAGCAGTTCCATAAACAGCGAAGCGGAACATGAAGAAAGAGTTTTGCGTGTTGCAAACGAAATCAAAAATGATCCCGAGATGATTCGTAGGGCAACTAATCAAATTTCACTTCGCGCTACAATGTGTTTGCAGCAACGGGGTGGCCATTTTGAACATTTGATGCCTTAAGCCAAAATGATTATCCTACAGACAAGTCTATTTGATTTTATTTGTTAAAGATAATGAATGATTCATGTAGGTTAATACTGTTGTTTTATTCCTACTCTGGCGTTGAACTGAGTTCACTGCTTTTTGAAACGCTGATTTAAAAACTTGTATCTGAGTAATAAACTTGCAGTTTTTCACCATTAGGAAGCTAATAACATGTAGAATAACTTAACATTTAAAAAAGGTAGGGTAAGTAGGACAATTTTTATTGAAATTTAGCAATTGTTTTAAAAATCATTGAGAAAATAGTGAGTTTCAGCATATTCCTCTTTATTATAAATGTATAGCATTTAATTTCGTGGAAATTTTCACTTTACAGGTACGGCCTATTATTTGCAATCACTACAAAATTTATTCCAATATGATAGGACATCCAGTTTAAAAGTTGTAACGATTTATTTAAATAGAGTTAGCAGCTGACTCTAAAAATTTTAAAATACTCATAAAAAATCAATTATTGTTTTTAATTTTTTTTTGATAATTTTTCCGTCAATAAAATAAGGTGTAGTTTCCTTGATTTTGATATGTGCACTTTATGAAGACTCACACTGTATATACAGAGCTGACCGCTTAGACTGCCCCTTTGGTTGAGGATTTTTTACAAAGAAATGCTGCTATGATTCAATTGACCTGACTTGATATCAAGTCAAGCTTAAGTCTAGTATTATATATTAGCAATCTGAAATCTGATTGAGTCAGGTATTGTTTACATCTGTCTGTGAAGTACTTGAAAATATAGGTAGCCTTGATATTACTTGATAATTTCTGTAATATAAATACGAGTAGATTACTCGTATATACGCAACGGTAACATTTTATGTGAGATATCGTATCTTAAAATGGATTGTAAACTATATCACACTAAGTAATTTCAGACATAATTAATGATCCACGCAGTTAAGTTAATCGAGGATTTGCTTATTCAGGTATAACAAGTAATATCGGAAAGCAACTTTTAGTAACTTTGTTTACATGAGACTACAAATTTTAGCTTAACTTAGAAAAACTTAATGCCATTTATTTGTTAATTACGCAATTTAAAAACGTTTTAGATTAGATTATAAAAATTAGTAAGATTGTGGTCGATATAAGGCACTTAAAGTTGTAAACTGTAATGCCATTTATACAAAAATCTATTGACTTTTGGACCATGGGTCATATGAACTTTTTGGACTTGTAGTCCCCCACCCTATTACCCATTTCAATAATGACTACCATAACATGTACACCCTGTATAACATCCAAAAACACAGTATCTCCTTTTCTAAATTCAATACCTCCTCTCCCAGTGGCGTAGGAAGTAAAAATATATGTTTTTAAAACAACCGCTCACCACCTTTACGCTTTTTCTGAATTGTCTGTATTCTGATTTCAGATGTGAATCGCTGGCCTCCTGTCGCGCCCCTCAAATGGAGGAGGGCGGGGGTGCGACGCCCGGTGGGGAGGGGGTTGGAGGTTTAGGGGCAGCAGGGGTGGCAGACCCAGTGGCGGACGACGCGGGGGGCCACGTGGGCCACCTGCTGGTCCGCATACACGTACCGGAGCTGAACGTGCAGAAGTGCTTGCAGTTCCCCAGGGACCAACTCGTTTGGGATGTCAAGCAGCAGTGTCTGGCCGCACTGCCGAAGGTATGTATTCAAATCCTGATCCTTTATTCACTTCTTGTTCTTACGTATGGGTGTATCTGAGGTTACGGCCTTGCGCTTAGGGTTTTCGAGTACCCGGACTTTTTCATACCCAGGTATCGGGTATTTTTTTTAAGTATCCGGCTCACTCCCGGGTATTTTCAATTGCAAATGACACTCACTATTATCAGTCAGCTTTGCGTGAGTGTCAGTATTCTCAAGTTGATTGTTTTCTATGCGTGATTGTAAAGGCGAAACTTTGTTTGTTCTGTAAAAGTCACTAACAGGTACACATATAAAAAGCAATAAGTGAAAAACGATTTTCACAACGAATCTAATGTCGTTTGCAAAATTATGAACAACAGAAGTGTAAACAAATAATGAAACATGAGAAGTGGTCACACACTGATTTTTTTGATTTTGAGCTCGAAAGAAGCATAATCTTATTCAAAACGGGCTCTTTTAACGAATCTGCATGTTACGAAAATGGCGTCAAGATTTTTTCTTACCGGCTTTTCTAGGTTTTCTGGGTCATTCTCAATAAAAAAAAAGATCCTTATGAACTTTTCTTTAAGGTGTCAGTAATTTTTGTATTATTGATACACGGGTACCCGGTTTTTCGGCAAGTATTTCACGGGATATCCGGGTATACCAGACCCGGGTCCGAAAACCCTAGTTACGAAGCATTAACATTTTTTTAAAGGTTTGGCAAATTAGGATACGCCCATACACCGAACGCTGTGATTTGTGTTCTTTTGAGTGCCAATTTTGTGAAAATTGAGAATTTTACTTATATCTAGTTGCTTATGACTGAATATATCTGCATTCACTTTGCGTTTCAAAATCAGAAAAGCACTTATGAGGTACCTACAAGTATCTGGTACAAGATGAAAAATTAAATAACGTTCTGCTGTTACCATGGTAATTGGTCAATAGATCATTCAAAATATCTATTTACATGCATTGAACCATTTTTCATTGAGAAACAAGCAAATGAACGTTCTATTACCATATAACGCGTTTTTAACACCAGTCATTTGCTACACACATGCGGTATTTTTCAACACCTCTTCTGTTGCTCGGAAATTTCTCATCTAAGAGCTCGAACACGTGCTGCTTCTTGACTAATTCTCTGTCAACTCAGAATAACGAAAGTAGCTCAAAAGGATTAGAGAGGAATTCACCGACAAGGGGCCTACTTCGATAGATATCATTCCAGATTGAGGTCATAAATAGCACAGGGTAAAAAAGGAAGTGAACATTGTTTTTAGAAAAATCCAAAATCAATTTTTTTAAATGGAAACCACGGCTGTTATAATTACAGGGTTTCGAGCACAGAAAAAGGTTAAATTTGTATAGGATTGTTTACTACACAAATTACTTAGTATTTTCCGAGATAGCCATATGGAAATATTGGTTTCTCTTGCCTAAATGCTCCATGCGATTAAAAATATTTGTTGAAAAATCCAAAATCAATTTTTTTAAATGGAATGAGTATTTCTAGATTTCTACTGTTTCGTGTCAGAGCTTTTCTTTGAGGTTATATTTTCTTTTTGAATTCTAAGAATGGCTGATAAAACTTTAAATTAAATTAAATTATAGGATCGACTGTCGTTATGGCCCTTAGTAGTTCGTCTGATTCCGCCACGGCCAACTGAGATTATCTCATGCAAAAAGCTTTAAGGGGTAATAAAGCAATAGGAAATATTTCCATATATCTTAGAGGCTATTGGTTAGCAAATTAGACAACGTTTCACATAATGAAACTTATTTTCAACGCTTGGTATGGTGAAGTTATAAAAAAGGTGACTACCATTTGAGAAAAATGACTTTGAGTTTCCTAAATATTGACTTAAATCTATCAAAGTAGATCCAAAGGCGTTACAAATCGTATGGCCAATACAAAGATACGAAAAAAAATTGTTTAAATGTATTGGCCTTCATTTCTAATTTTTTGCGAGAAGTCTGAGACATTTCAAAAATAGACAGATTATATACATGAAATATATGTATATGGAATCACCAGTAGAATCTGAGGCTTGAATAAGATATAAGGTATTTCATGTAAATTAAATAAGTTTAATAATATTCTAGCCGAATTGCTTCATACTATAACCTCAAATTTTCATATTTGTCTGATATTAAATTAGCGAGTAACCGATTGCTGCAATTCTACATGGTACACACTGTAAGACTGTGGCCATCTAGATCTTAGATACATTTTGGATTAATGTAACTGCTGAAACCTATCCCATATATGTGGCTCTTGATTTTTCCGGACAATAGAGCCTTACATTGTGCACTCTTGAAAGACTCTAATAGAACATTTCTGACATACAAGCTGAATTAGGCAAGAATTACTGCGGAATTAACGTGTGTTTCGGCTCTAAAATCATTAGCAATGATTAATTGCCCAGAATCTTTTCAACGAGGAACTGAAATCTAAGATAGTCGATTGCTTTGCAGACCGCAATATTTCTTTTTGTTTAAAAGATATGCATAAAAGTTGCGAGCGTCCAAGGTGACCTGCAGTTATAGCATGGTCGAATTTTTGTGCACATATTATTTTATTTGGTATCTGTTATTGGCGACTTTAAAATGAAGTGCTGTGATTACCCTTAGAACATTAATTTATTTTATTCTATTGCAAATTTCTATATCGCTGAAAGTTGGCATACCTACAGCAGAGTCCATTAAAAAATACACTCAAGCAGATGGGCTCAAGATAAATGTGAAGAAACATGAAAAATTAACTGCAGAAAGAAATATTGTTGGTTAAGGTTTTCATAAATCTTGAAATCCGAAAGTTCTATCTATGTGCGCCCCAATACTGTGAAAATTTACGAACCATGTTTCAGAATGAAGAAAATTGCTCGAATACCTTCTTTCAAAATATGTATGTATTTGCTCTGACCTTACATAGTGATAACAACAGATACCTGTTACGGTAACAAAAAAGCAATGGACCACTAGATTACGTAACCGTGTCCCTTTTCGAAAATCTTATTTATTAACATGATGCTAGTTTTACTGGTCTAACGCCTAGCGGGCTTTCTTTGACTGACGTCGAGATTACAGAAAAGATACAAGGCTGGCTGTTAATAGTCAAAAATTATCACGCCTTAATGAATCATTAGTGATTTATGGTATGGATATTCCATCTTTTTCTAACAGGTATTATTAATACATGTACCTGTTATACAATTAATTATCGAATATAATTAATGAAATAATTGTGTGGTCCGCCAAAAATATAACATGTACTGAACACGATCGGTAGAGTTCATAAGTACCAGTTTTTTTAAAGGTCAATTCAGAATCAGCTGCCAAACATTGGAGCGTAACTACAATTCAAATTCAAATTTAGAGTTGCCTATACTATTGGAATGTATCTTTCAACATATTCCCAGTTTCGTAACGTGCTATTAAGATGCACGAGACATAGATCTAAATATTTCCATTTTCTTTACGGTAAATACACAAACGGAATGAGTAATAGTTCGTTCCTCCTTTGAAGAAAGATTATAACCATCTTATATGGAAACTTGAATTGTTTATGATTGATTATATGATTTGTCTTATGTAGCTTATTATGTTTTATGAGTTTGGTTTGATATTTTTCATGATTCTCATATTTTATTTGTAGTATTTTTGCATGGTGTGAGTATTGTTACTTCATTTTGATTTAGTGCCCTTTGATTCAATATTTATAATAAGTTCAATCTACCTTTTGTTAAATAATTGTAAAATCAGTGAGTCATCTCATCTATATAATCTATCATGTTCATAATCAGTAAAAAATGCTACTGATAACAAAGTTTGCACATGGAGTTACTAATATGTGCTGCTTCAGGTTAAATATTAGCTTATTTGTGCTGATACAACGGTTTTGCGGCTGCAAGCACAATCACAGGATCAACAATAAAATTGTTTACTAAGCTTTAAGTATTAACACGCTTAGCATACAGTACACAATCAGGCATGTAGCACTGTGAAGTTATCACTATCACATTACGCACTTCATTGCGAAATTATGTTTCAACTTGATTTTACCGGCAAACAGCGTTCATGGATCCAGTGTCACTGTATCAAAAAACGAACAAGGCAAGCATTCAGATATAATATCAAATTTGACAAGCTCCATCATTAGTTCTATGACTTGTACAATATACGAGGCTGAAATAGTGTCTTATACAGGGTGACTTTAATTTTCATGTCATTAATTTTCAGATAATGATTGTAGAAGGAAGATAAACCAAAATATGTGTGTAAAAATTAAAAAAAAAAATAAAAAAAATGTTACCTTGTTTTATAAAATATCCTCCCGACAAGTATTTCAGTGCGGACCTGTATTTGATCGTGCGGTCTTGGAGCACATACCCTCCCGTGTGAGGACATAAGTCACCTGATTCACGAGCCCTTTGTACTACATTAACAAAGGCACTAGGGGTTGGTTGCACTCGATTGAGAAACCGATCCGCATAAATCCGTGTTGCCGTAGCAGCATTTTGTAAAATAAGAATCATGTCCACAAGTTGAGCATTTTCGTAAGCATGTGCCATTTTTTATTTCGTTTGAGCCACGCAGAAACACCACTCACGCGTTACCGACTGACACAAAGAATGAATACAACTGAATAAAATAAATGAATAAAACATCGTGATAAGCGTTTCAAATTCGTTCGCTTTTTTGTCTCCGATTATATCCGCTGTTGCCAAACACGAGAACATATTATTATTGAGACAGGGCGGTACTCAAACTTCTAAAGGGCTATAACTTTGTTACTTTAATTTTACCACAAAAATGTTAAAGGAAAAAAACATTTCTTTTGATCAGAACTACTCACTGTTAAAATAAATGACTCAACTTCGAAGTCACCCTGTATTTTCTCAAAAGTATGAACAGCTTTCATTTCCAATAGACGATACAATATTATAGCGCTATATTTATACATAGTCGCCATTCCAACGTTTTGTAGAAGTTTTTTTACTCTCATGGAGTTTCTTGAACATACAACAAACACGATTTCGGAATAGGATTAAAACAAAACTCATGCAGGCCGGTAAGACGAGCGAGTTCTATCCCACTTTCTGATGCTACAGACCGAAAAATACGCGAGTAATTCATTTTTTTTTATATCAGTGAGAGGGCGAGGACTTGCGTTACTCTACCATGGTCTCTCAGCCTTAGAACCATCCAAATAAAGTGACCATTATCGTTAATATTTATTACATCATAATAGGCGGAGGTGGTAATAACAATAAATTGGATGGTTTGCACATAATGGCAACCATAACACAAATACCTACTTCAAGAATTCACCAACCTGATTTATAAATAAATGGTCCAATTTAAGCGCCGATAAAGCTACTTTTCATTCGAAGACCAGAACCATTTCCGCACGTTTTCAGTTAAATAGCAACAAAATAAAAAATCTGGCTTCCAGATATTTGTATCAAATATTGCTATTATGTATGAACCTTGAGGCCACCCCCCCCCCTTTATACTCCTGGATGCGCCATTGCCTGGCGTCAAATAGCTATGACACGGCCATACAGAAACAGCCACAGCATCTACAAAAATGCGTCGGATGGAACGGCTATCATATAGAAAATATGTTATAACCAACGTTTGAGCTTCATAGTGCTCCACCAGTTATTGAAAATAAATGCCTTTTTTATCTAGAAAGAATAGGAGACTCAACTTTCTTGAGTCACCCTCATACAAATCCGATTTCACCTATATATATATAGGTGAAAAATTAAAGCTTCCGCCTTTTGTTGGGTACTTGGACAAAATTTAAGCAAAGAGGACTCTTTATACTTTTTTAATTCTCTCTAGCTTTCAATGGACTTTGCCATGATCATCAGGAGCTGCAATTATAATGATAACAGTAGCAACAAAAGTGTAAAATGAATTTAAATTGACTCAACTTACAGTAGTATGTGAGGATGTTGCTAATTGTTGTTTACATCCTCACATACTACTGTAAGTTGAGTCAATTTAAATTCATTTTACAATTTTGTTGCTGCTGTTATCATTGTAATTGCAGCTCCTGATGATGATAGCAAAGTCCATTGAAAGCTAGAGAGAATTAAAAAAGTATAAAGAGTCCTCTTTGCTTAAATTTTGTCGAAGTACCCAACAAAAGGCGGAAGCTTTAATTTTTCACCTAACTGGTCTAGACGACAATGACCACGTCTCAAAATATATATATATATATATATATAAAAGTATGCACTATTTCCTTATTAGATTTTCCTTGATAATGCAAACATGTCCGGAATAATTTGTTCTACCTAAACAAGTGAACGTATTTTAGTGATAGGATCTACAACAGCAACAGATCATGAATCATTTTAGCATAAATTCTCAGATGTGTGTTGTGAAATTTCGAGTAAATGTAACAGCGCCAGCAGCATTTAATATTTTTCATAGATTGCAAAATCGGTTTGAATGCACCTTTGTTTGTTATCGTTTTATAGTATATATTTGTAGATATGAACAATGATATCAGCTATTAGAACGTCATTTTTGAAGTGTTTTGAACCAGCGTTATGTCACTAGTACTATACTTCTCAATAATTGATAGGATATTATAGTTCTAAGTATTAGAGTATCATATAATTCGTAACATAGATCTTAGTTGTCGGGCAACACTAAAGTATGAATGGATTTTCATACAATGCAAGAATCCTGCAGATTTTCTATAGTATTCAAATGTATACCTTAAAACCTGTGTGGATCGATATAAGTATTAGAACGACTCTTCTAAGAACTGTGTAAACGTAGAACGATCTATAATGATGGAAAGTGACGACTCAATGGTTATAGCGATATTAAATAGTGAATACTAGCACTTAGATAAAGAGCATTCACAAAATCACAATCGCAAAATCAAGGTACACGTTTTATGTTTATACTGCACTGTTTATTTTTTGTTTTTAACATTGATTTGTTTTGTTTGTGGTGGCGCTTTTGACGTGCAAAGGTGGCAACGTGGTATAGGGTAGGTATTTAGTGCAAGGTAGAATAACGTGTAAGCATGTTATTAGGTAGATTTCCCAGTTTCAATCTAGTAAATTTGTTTATTCTTATGCATTGTATGACAGCAT